CTAAACCCTAAACCCTAAACCCTAACAATTAAGAAGGGAGAAGGGAGCGGGCAGCAGCAGAAACCCTCGAGCAGGGAGACGACAGAGAATAGCCCAGCCGCCTGCCGCTGTCTCCAAACCCTAAACCCTAAACCCTAATCATGGATATTAAAAGACATTTTAAATTCAAAAAAGTCAAAAATATTTCGAGGGTTTGCAAAACTGAAGACGCAAATGAAAAGGAGGTCACCGGCTGCCTCTTCGCCGGGCACAGGGTCACTCTGCAAACCCTAAACCCTAATCCCTAAACCCTGAACCCAAAACCCTAAGCCCTAAACCCTAAACCCTAAACCCTAATAGCACAAAGAACTTCCTCCTCAATTTCAAGCTTTTAGCCCCAAGTCCTATACCGTAGAGCGTATGGGCGGCGAGGGAGCAGTGTGTGGGGTGGAGCTTCGAAACCCCTAAACCCTAAACCCTAAACCCTAAACCCCAAACCCTCATCCCGCGTTTCACTGACCAAAAGTTGTCGACTCTTCTTCTTGGAGCCTCTCGAGAGCGGAGAAGAGGGTTTACTGTTTAGGGTTTGGAGCAGTGAAGAGGTTCGAATGCGCACAAGTTAGGGTTTAGGGTTTAGGGTTTAGGGTTTAGAGTTTCACCTCTTTTTGTCGGATTTTTTCTTTTATTGAATTCTTTTCCACTCCTTTTATTCAAATGAATTATAAAAAGACTTTTTGATGAAACTTTTATTCAAAAAATGCAAATTTGCATTTAAAAGATCTTTTTATGAAAAATGAAACCTTTGCGAAAAACTCAAAAATAAGATTTGCTGTTGCCGGTAGAAGCAGAAAGCCAAGAGCTGCTTCCGAATTAGTTCCTATTTCTAAACCCTAAACCCTAAACCCTAAACCCTAATCCCTAATCCCTAAACGCTGAACCCTAAACCGTAATAACTGAACCCCTACCCTTATTCTCGAAACCCTTGACCCTAAGCAAGAACCTCTAAACCCTAAACCAGGGACCCTAAACCCTAAACGCTAAACCCTAAGCCCAAAACCCTATGCGCTAAACCCTGAGCCCTAAACCCTAAACCCTAAACCCTAAAAGAGTGTAAACGCATGCATCTACCCCCTAAAATGGAAATAAAGATCTAGTGGAGATTTTCTCTTGCTGCGCATGCAAACAAAAACGCGAAAAACAAAAGCAGCAAAGAAAATATCTTCAAATGTAATTCTAGAAATAAATAATAAATAAATAAATAAATAAATAAATAAATAAATAGTGTTTTATTCTTTTTATTCTTCTGTCTTTGCTTCATACTTTGCAGTTTGCTGCAAAGGGTGCTGCTGCCTCAATTGTTGTGCCTGCACATGCTGCTACAGCAGCTGCTGCAGCAGCTTGCCGCTGCTGCAGTTGCTGCTGCTGCTACTTTTGTAGCTGCTGCTGCTGCTACTGCAGTTGCTGCTGCTGCTGCTGCAGTTACATTTCTAAACTTTCGTCTATCAGCTCGGCCAACGTGTCTGCATGCACCGCAGCATCATTGCTGCTGCTGCTGCTGCTGCTGCTGCGCTCATTTGTTTCTGCTGCAGCAGCAAGAGGCACAGTGGGCGCTACTGGGGCCCCTGGGCCTCCTAATGCTGCTGCTTTTGCTGCAGCAGCAGCAGCAATTTCATCTAGACGATCTGCATCAAACTCGAAGCTTTCTAGGATTGCTTCTGAGCTGTAAGCAGCTGTGTCTGCTGCTGCTGCTGCTGTTGTTGCCGCTGCTGCTGCTGCTGCTGCAGGTGTTGCTAATGGGGCTGCTTCCACTTCCTCCTCTAGATCGATGAGCTCGTCTTTCCGCTGCTGCTTCTGCTGCTTCTGCTGCTGCGGCTTCTGCTGCTTCTGCTGCTGCTGCTGCTGCTGCACTTCTTCAGCCACTTCTGGGAACCCCAGCAGCAAGAGGGCCTCAATGACATCGCGGGCGTCAGTGGTTTGGCGTTTTGCTGCTGCTGCTGCAGCAGCAGCAGCGTCTGCAACATAAACTAGAAAGAGTGCAGCGCAGCGGCCAAGAGCAGCAGCAGCTCTTCTGTCTGCGCGGAGGCCTTCTGCTGCTAGCTGCTGCTTCACTATGCGCTGCACATGCGAAGCAGGCAGCTGCAGATGTTCGCTGCTGCTGCTGCTGCTGCTGCTGCGGGCGGTATGCGCTGGGGCTGGTGCAGCATCTGCTGCAACTGCTGCTGCTGCAGCAGCCTCGCCGTCCACTTCCATGCCTGCTGCAGCACTGCGCTCGGAGTTTCGCTGCTGCTGCTGCTGCTGCAGTGCTGCAATAGGCAGCAGCAGCAATCAGGCGGATCTTCTGCGGCTGCTGCTGCAATGCTCCGATGGGCAGCAGCAGCGATCAGGCGGACCTGCTGCTGCTCCTGCTGCAGTGCTGCTATGAGCAGCTGCAGCAGTCAGGCGGATCTGCTGCTGCAGCTGCAGCAGCGCCGGTATGAGCAGAGGCAAAAAGAAGCGCTTTCCGCTGCTGCTGCGGCTGCTGCTGCTGCTGCAGTGGCACCTGAGCTCCACGTACACCAGAAGGTCACCCAGGAAGCGGTGGGGTGAGGTGTTTGCTGCTTGTCTTCCGCTGCTTCCCGCGGGGTCTGAAGCTAAAACTAATTAGAATAACAAATAAAAATTAAAAACAAATCCAATTCCCTAAACTCTAAACCCTAAACCCTAAACCCCTGCAGCTTTTTGGCTTGGGGGCCCCCACCACCGGCGGTCGCGAGCAGCTGGCTGTGAGTGCGCGCGAGGGTTAGGGTTTAGGGTTTAGGGTTTACGGCGTAGAACCTAGGGTTTATTTTTGTGCGTTTTGAGGCGCCGAGTCAACCAGTTTTAACACATGTAAGCTAACTTTGTGGGGAGCTCAGACAGCAGCAGCAGCAGCAGCAGCAGCAGGAACATGTGCGAGGGGGCCTCACCGTCCCGGCAGCATGGCTCGTTGCTGCTGCTGCTGCTGCTCTTGCTGCTGCTGCTGCTCCTAGCTGTCGTCTGCGGCTGCTGCTCGCTCCCGCTGCCGCTGTCATGGCAGCATCAGCGGCTGCTGCTGCTGCTGCTGCTGCTGCTAGTGGCGCTGCCGCTGCTGCTGGCGCTGCTGATGCCGCTTCCAACCACTGCTGTCTCGTTGCTTCACCCTGCTGCAGCAGCAGGAGGCGGGGGGGAGAGGGTCCTCTGGGCTCTCGTGGCTCACTTGCTGCAGCAAAAAAGGCAGCAGCAGCAGCAGCATCTGCAGCAACTGCAGCTGCGAGAACTCCAGAAGCAGCAGGAGTCTGCAGAAATAGGACCAGCAGCAGAGACAGGGACATGCTACAGTCGGAATAGGCTGCACAGCAGCAGCAGCAGCGGCAGCAGCAGCAGCAGCAAGCAGGACCCACAGCAGCAGCAGCAGCAGCAGCTCTCTAGCTGCAGCAGCAGGCCCTTCATTTCTTCTCGCGCCTGCCAATCTGCTGCAGTTGTGGTGTATGTACAGAGCAACTGCCGCTGGCTGAGTGGGGCCCCCG